CACCACCACGCGGGAGCCTCCTGTGTGTGGTGGACGTTACTTTTTCTCATTACGGCTGGCCTGTCTGAACGGGAGGGGGAGATGGGACATAAAACGCCAGCCTTCCCCCCTCTCTTGCTTTTGGGAAAGAAGTTTGTGACCACACACACACACTCGCTCGCGCCTTTCGATTACACAAAGAGCAACAGCAAATCCCACAGACACAACAGCGTCTGGTATCACCATTACGATAAAAAAAAAAAAAAAAATCACAGCCGGCGTCAGACTTAACTGCCACCGTCCATCCTTCTCGCCATCGCCACCACAATAAACATCACCAACAACAACAACATTATGTCTTCTCCCCCGTCCGTCCCCGCCCAGCTCCACCAGGCCGCCGAGCGCGCGCCGGTGCTCAAGATCGCGCAGACGCAGACCTTCACCTACGGCTACAACAGCACCACCACCTCGCCGGCCACGTCGTCGCCGCGCACCGTCTCGGCCCCGGTCCGGTCCTTCTCCTTCTCGCAGGGCAGCCACTGCCACTGCTGCGGCGGCGTCTTTGTCATCAGCAACCGGTGCAGCAACCGCCAGTGCGAGCACGTCCAGTGCGCCCAGTGCTACTAGGCCGACGGGAGTATTTTTCTCTCCAGTTGCCCGTCTAATAAAACACATTACGTCGACTGCGCCCATCCACCAGCCATGTACGAGGAAATCTAAGCGGCTGGTGGCCTTTTTGGGGCACACTTTCGCAGCGAAGCGAACGAAGCGCCAGGAGTCCATTTTATCTTGTATAAAATCTCCTTTCTCACGATTTTTTCTGCTCTTGTCAGGCGCTGGGACATTGTGGAATACACGCACACGACACGGGCTTGTTATTCAGTTCGTGCTTTTTTATTGTTGTTTTTTTTTTTTTTTTGGTTGCGAATTATTGGGTTGGTTTTTCTCTACCTAACCTAGCTCGATACCCAGTTTGGAATCTGAACTTTACGATCACAAACAAACACTGCCCACCTACTCCATTAAATTGTGCTGTGATGGTGGTCTTCCTGCCAAATGCATGATGGATGACGATGCCCTTGAGTGCTACGCATCGTGAGCCCCATGCTGTAGAGGCCAGTATTGATTGATGTTTATTGACCCTTGAACTCCCCAAGAGGAAATGAAGCAAAAAAAGAAACTTTCAATAGTAATTTGCCCAAAAATTGCGGTCTGTGTGGATCGAACACACGACCTTCAGATTCCAATGTCCGAAGTGCACTTCAGTCTGACGCTCTCCCAACTGAGCTAAGCCCGCTTTTAATCCATGTCTGCCGGCCTCGATGGTGGTGCAGAAGAGGGGTCTGGTCGGTCGTGCAAGGCTTGTTTGACTGTAAGTCCCGTCGGGAAATCACGGAAGGCTGCGATTGCGAACCCACTGTTGTTGGCCTGCAAGTGCCTGCCTGCCTGGTCCCTGGTTGAGCAGCCTGGGTGGGCGCAGAGTCAAGGGTCCGGATCCGCCCGGAAAGGGACAGCCTCCCCTATAAATGGAAAGCTATTACGTACAAATATCACCACTGGAGGCAGGGCGCAGGAGCGGCAATGTTTTCATGTTCTCTGCGTACAGTAAACTGGCAAGGAACGTGGCGCTTGTTTTTGCTGATTCTTGCTCGGGAACATGGCTGTGGTAGCATTTTTCTTTCTCTCTTCGCGACCTCGATATTTTTGGCTTGTTTATTTTACACCCCCCCCGGGATGTTTACAATTATCTGTATACAGTCCAGACCGGCTTTAAAAAACCCTTGATTTCGCTCATTTCTGGGTAATCAAGATGGGGGATCGTCACGCATGAATCCATTTGTGCAAGAAACTCCGTGCAGGGAAACGGAATCCGATGGCGGCCATGGTCTCCAGGGGCTAGGGAGAACTTCGTCGAATCCCGAGAAAGGTACACCAGCAAAGGGAGACCGCGTCATGCTCCTCCCCTGACCCAGGACTTCTCGACGCTCCGACCGTGCTTACCCTTGCCTGTAACAGGGAGGTCGCGTTTCTCGAGCTCCTGGGCAACCACCTTCCAGCGGCCCACCATCTTGTCCTTGTCGATGGGCGTGACCCTGCGGTTGTAGACGGTGACGTTGGGCAGTTTGGCCAGCTCGCCGCGCGCCTCGATCTCCTCGGCGAGCTTCTTCGGCTTCGGGGGCGTGACTAGGATCTTGATCAGATCGTTGATCGTTTGGACGCTGTTGAGCTTGCTGTCCACCAAGATGTGTCCCGAGAGCTGGTGAACACGCTTGGCGATCTTTTAGGTGGAACTGTCAGTCCTTGTGTGCGAGTATGTAGCAGGCAGATATGCCCATCATTAGAGGCCACATACCGCAAACTTAAGGGTTATGTCGTCGAGTGACATGGTCTTCCAGCTGGGATCCCACGTCTCGAGAAGTGCAGCCGCCTCCCCGGCGTCCATAGCACTAGACTCCGCGGTCTCCTCCGCAGACACATTCTCCGCAGTCCCCTCCTCCGTAGGAGCAGCCTCCGCCTTGACGGCCAGGTCGGCGACCAGGTCGGCCGGCGGCTCGTGCGCCAGTCTAGCCTTGCCATCCTCCGCCACCTCCAGGGCCACACCCAGCGCGCGCA